GTGCCCCGGTTGCCAGAAGGAGTGCCGCGGCCCCAGAGACTTGGGCGTTTTCACATCCTTGGGACGAAGCTTGCTCAAATGATCTTCGTAAGCGCCCCCGCGCGCTCCAACACCTCCAAATCTCCAGCAAGCATTTCATGGACCAAATGATGAAGGGAGACCTTCCTGCTTTCTCCGCTTCCCAGGTCGCCGAGGCCGACACGGCCGACGCGGCGTCCAACCGCGGCCGCACAGCGCGTGTCGAAACGCTCACTCGCGCTCTCTGCTTGCCGCGCCCCGCGGCAGAGCTGCAGCCCGTGGATGCTTCGTCGAGAGGAGCGTCCGCATAGTGTCACCCAGCGCGGCCAGGGAGGTCCGGAGATGCTTGAACATTCGTTGGCTTGCCTGCCGCACTGGGGACCATTTTATCTTCACCTCAACGCCCTGCGCAGGCGCTTCCATATCCAGCGCCATTGGCTGGCGCCCTCAGCTCTTGTCATGTTCCCAAATTGGGAACTGGAGGTCTTCCACCCGCGTGGCGGATTTTCCATCCGTATACGCTTGCTCACCGAGCCAGCGCACCCTGCAGGCCCCGCACAGCGCTGCCTGCTTCCATGCCTACGTGCTCCAGGTTCGCCTTCAGCCGCCTCGAATCGAATCGAATCAGAATCATCACCACCACCACCATCATCAGCTTCATAGTCATCACCACCATCATCAGCATCATCAGCATCCCAGACATCCTGTGCTAGACCACATCACACGCTCGTAGTCACTTCTCATCCCCCTCCCCCCCCTCTTCTTCATCCTTCGTCTAGTCCCATAGGGATCTAGCTCCCTCTCTAAGTTCCAAGTGGCAGCGCCCGCATGGTAACGCCGCACCCGTTTTGGCACATCCTTTGCACGCTTCGTGGCCACATTGGGAGCTGCATGGAAGGCCCCAGTGGCAGCGCCCGCATGGCACCGCCGCACCCGTTTTGGCACACCTTTTACATGTTTTGTGGCCCCGTAGGGAGCTCCACCAAAAGGCCCCAGTGGCAGCGCCCGCATGGCGCCGCCGCACCACAATGTCGACACACCCGTCACACGTTTCGTGGCCCCATGCGGGGTCTCCACCGAAGGC